CAACGAGTTCGAGCTCGATATTTATTTATTTATTTATCTTTTTGTGTATTAGAATTATTTATATTTCGAGCTCGATATTTTTTTTGTTGTGTGTTTTAGAATTCTCTGTATTTGCTTGAATCATTTTACTTTGACATATTTAGGTTTGACAGCGCCAAATTGGAATGTTTCGTTCTCAGATTTTGCTCCAGGAACCGAACAATATTCAGCAAATTCTTATTCCCCCGATGATTCTGGAAACAAAAGCTGAGGCGCGGTGTTGAGTTAAAGCGTATATGACTTAATGGACCGAAACGTCTTATCTCATTCTTGCCTTCTTTTCTCATACTGTTCTATCACGCTAGAATCTATCTCGCCTTTGCCTTTTAGATTTCTAGAGTTAACCTCGGTACTACAATCAGCTAAGTTAGGACATTGCTTTCATAAAAACCCCAGCATATTTGAAGGCTGTCCGTGCTAGAAAACTTCGATGCTTTTTTTCTTTCCATCTTAAAACTTCTCAGCTTTCGCTCATTTTGGCTGGCTTTCTCTTTCTGTCATCCTTTTAGGGTTCTTTTTCTCAGTCCACTTTACTCTCTTCAAATTTGCCACTCTTACTGTCTTGCAAATTTGCCATTTGCTGTACTGATGATTCCCACTCCTAATCGCATGCTGAGCTCGATATGTGCATACAGCTAAGGGATGAAACACAGACTGCCACAGACTGAAGCACAAATTCTTCACAGATTCATTCCACATATGACTTGTAATTTCTATGCCTATTTTCTAATCTTCTAATACTCCATAGTCGGCGACAAAGTCCCTCCATATTCTCTCGTTGTGAAAAGAGGAATTACTCGTGAAGTAACTCGAGTTTTTGGTAAAAAATTGAAGCAGTCGATGGTTCCCTCTTTCAAAATTTGCCCTTTTTGGTATTTTTGTCATTGATGTGATAAAATGTGATTCAGGTTTGGACCATTGGTGGAAATGCAGCAAATAATGTTACCGTACTGAATCAGCTTAATTCACACTCAATTTTATTCTCAGCAATTCCGATGAATAATCCGGTTATCACTTCGTAAGTGCTACTTTTTG